CTCTCTACGCCTCTTCGTAGACGTGTCCCTACAGGGATGGGGCGCACACCTGGAGGGACAGGTCGTCTCGGGGCTGTGGTCCGCCGATCAGCGCCTATGGCACATCAACAACCCCGAACTTGAAGCGCTTATCTTGGCCATCGCTCACTGGAAGCAGGCCCTCAGACACGCCCGGCTCTCCATCTCGACGGACAACATCACTTTTGTATGGTGCCTTCGGAACCAAGGAACGACTCATTCGACTTCGCTCCTTCAACAGACATCCCGATTGTTTCACCTGGTGGATCATCTGGGGATTCAGTTCCAGGTCCACCACATCCCGGGCTGCCGAAACATCCCAGCGGATGCCCTATCTCGGCCAGGCAAAGTGGCTCCCACAGAGAGGAAACTTCACCCAGACGCAGATCGACACGGAACCTCAATCTGACTTTGGTTGCGCCCTGGTGGCCAGCGAGGGCTTGGTTCGTCGACCTCAGAGAGCTGTCCGACGTCAACCCACTGCCACTCCCAGATTGGCCAAATCTGCTGATCCACCCTCACAGCAGACAGCCACACCCAGGACCAGACAGCTTATGCCTTCACCTCTGGTCCATTCACAGAGAGCGTTGCAGGATAAGTTAAAAAATTAAGTAAAATCTAAATATTTTTTTACATTTGTATACTTATCCTGCATTACGAAGTCTAAGTGCCCCCCCTGCGCTCCGCTGCCTCCCCACGAAGTCTCTGATGTTATGTTAAAGCAGTTATGTGTTTTGACGTGACGTCATGACTTCCCGGTCACGTGCCGACTGTGTGGGAGGGGGCACTGCTTCCTGGACAGATGGAACCAATTTTCTTCAGCAGCTGGATCTCACACAGTTCGTCTTTCTGTCAAAGACAGCAGTAAATGCAATACGGAGTAATGCAGGATAAGTATACAAATGTAAAACATATTTAGATTTTACTAAATCATTAATGATAATGTGCATTGTTCATGCATCGATGTATTTTGCCGTATCTATTTAGAAACAATAATTCTGATTGCTGTCGTTAATTGTAAGCTTGAACAATTGGTAAAAAATGTCACTAGAGCGGGGGTGGGCAGTACCTGGACAGCAGTAGTAGCCGGACACTCACCAAGCATTTATTTATAGCTAATAAGGTAAACTGCTGATACCCAAACTTGACAGGCAAGCATAATCCATTTTCCCCACAGGCCATTTAAAAATTTGTCTGCCTGAGATAAGTCTCTAAACAAACCGTCCATGGTCACCTTTCAAACATGACTGCCACGCCTGTATGGTTTCATACATTATCCCTTAAAAATGCAGTTTTCGGTCTTAAATTAGTGTTTTCCAAACGATCATTTTAAATTAACTTTGGTGTAAGGTAGGACTTACTAATGTAACAACATTCTATGAAAGAAGATGTCTCGAAAATTCAATAAATAGTACTGTTAAAACCATGTCCGGGTACTACCTCGATGAAAAAAAATGGTAAGGGAGTACTCGGACATGTTTTTTTTTAAAATTAATCAGTTAAATATCCTCACATTTTAACATATAAAACTATATTTTTGCTGTACATAGTGATTTAGTGATAAATATAACTTAATGCTTGATTTATAAAATAAGATGGAATCTCTATTTGGGTAACATCATAAAGTAGTTATATTTAGATGTCTACATTCAACTTATTCATAAAATAAAGTAAATTTTCTTCGAAAACATTCTTAATAGTCTGTGTGTCATCTATAGGATAAAACACGTACGAGGGTTGTTATGATATTTCAAACCCGCATCCTGAGGGATTTTCCGAGGGAAAGGGTGTTAAATATCATAACAACCCGAGGGGAAGTGTTTTATCTTTCTTATAAACCGATTTTGAACCTTAAAATTATCCCCAAACTAAATTTCAACCCATTATAAGTGTACAATAAAGCACGTCCAAGGGTTCTTATCACATTTAAAACATGCATCCCAAGGATAACGGTTTTAGATATCATAAAAACGCGAGGGCAAGTGTTTTATCTAATTTATGAACCGAAAAAAGAAACTTAAAACAACATTCATCAACATTTTTATTTATTGGAGAAAACATGCTTACGAGGTTTTGGTAGACAAAGCATGCCCTGGGGAGAGGGAAAAACCAAGGGGGCAAAGCCCCTGCGGTTTTTCTCGACCCCCAGGGCATGCTCTGTCTACCAAAACCGAGGGAAAGTGTTTTTCCATACTTATAAACCGAAAAAAGAAACTTAAAACAACATTTATTAACATTTTTATGTTTCGAACATACTTTCCATGAACCTTATGAAACGGGCGTAAAATATCTGTTGCTGGCGCACGGATCTTGAAAAGGACATTCTAAAAACCAGTGAGGCTTATCAACACCTCTGTAGCCTCATGGTACACTCACTGGGCTACAGATATGAAGGTTGCGAGGTCGATCCTCGGGGATATTAAGAAAACATTTGTCACTTGATTTTACATTTCATTACATGTTACAATCTGAATGGAAGTTATATTAATAAAATACCCAGGACATTATATAAAATTCCTTGGATATTATAACACATTATATAGCAAATATGACTTGAATATCCTATAAAATCCCGGGGACATTACAACGCCCGTGTTTATGATATTTAACCCGACTGGAGAACAATAGGATGATGTCACCGGAGGTTTATAAGATCTATTATTGCATTTTAATTTCATGGATTTTTAAAATATCTTTAGAATCCTTTCTATTTATTTCTATCTACTAATATATTTTACAACATTTAAGAAGTGAGCCAACATGAATATAAACCTTTGCTTAACCTTGAAATCTAAAAAAGGCAATTGAAGCAGTCACCACTCGCAGAATATCCGTAGGAAAAGCGCCTGTATATTATGTTTTTCCTCAAGCTAGACTCTGTGATAAAATAAAACAAAAAGTGCCAATGGAATTTCAAAAAGATGAAGAGGATCAAATTTCAAAGATTGGGTGTGGTCATGCCAAAATAGACTCATTATAGTGTATCAGGTGTATCAAGACACATATATATGTACCTATCATTTATAGATAACTGTAGTATTATAAATTTGCATCTTACATTGATATAAATTACCTAACATGATTATATTACAGCATATGTATGTTGTGTCCCAGATATAGATGAAACACTACTCGCTATTGTAAATTTAAATACTTGTATATTTTCTTTCTTTCGATAGGTATTTTTTCTCATTTTTCATGGCCTTACATTCATGGCCTTGATGGTGGCTCTTGAACCCGACAACAGGTTTGACAGGTATGCAATGTAAGATCATGATGCCAGAAGTAGTGGATACACAGAGATATGATGTAGGTGCAGAGGTGTGACCACCATCACATAGACTAGTAGTCTGAGATATTGCTGGCATCATGTCGGTTGTGTTACAAGACAGTTACTGAGGCTTTTAGCTCAATATTTAGGACAACAACATTATGAGTATCACCCTATTTTACACCGAGAGGGTAACTCATGATGCCCAAGCTCATCTTCCAGAGGCAAAAGAGTTAACTGACTATAAAAGTCCAGTTTCCTCCCTTGCTGAACTAGGCTGGGATTATTGCAATACATTTTGGCTGGACTAATGAGTCATGCAGATTGCAGGATGTGCAAAGCATGTGCATCGCCAACTCGTTGTCAATTGATATTTTCCAACTCTTTTCATGTTTTTAATCAAGGTGCTCACATGATTTGATGTACTTCACGAAGTAAGAACCGTTTTATCACAATGATGGTCGATCAGATCGTCTTGACTGGGCGCCACCATTTTGTTTGAAGCAAATGCATGTGACACGAGAGGTGGAATCTGATTGGTCCATTTGGGATAGGCATAGAATGGACATAACTCGTAATACCCACTGGTGTGGCAGGAATTCCAGCCTAGTTCGGCAAGGGTGGAAACTGGACTTGTAAAGTCAGTTAACGCTCTTGCCTCGGGAAGATGGCCCAAACTAGAGGCGGTGGTCATAAGCAGGACTATATTGTTTTCACGTTTTGTCCGGGGCATATTGTTAAAGAACGTTTTGAACGCTATCAGAATGCAGGGTGCTAATTCTCCGTTATCAGTGTAGATTATGATTAACAGCTCACTGTGGGTGACATTTGATCATACATTTTTTAAATCGTTCATATTTATTGTTTACTGCATACGTTCGATCGAAGGACCAGCTATGTTAAACTGAGCTTCTGAAAAATAACCAGTCGTGTATGATACGACATGTTAATAATGGTATATGTTTCAATGTCGCCATTCCATTTTAATTCCATTGCATTTTAAAAAAAAAAGCAACATATATGAAGTGTCCGACTTCTGCCTCTCTGCTGTCCGGGTATTGCCCATTGTGTCCGAGTACTACCTCAGCTGTCGTCAAGCTAACAGTATCCAGGTTCAGGCTGAGCAAGATGTTCTTTGCCTGTTGGTCAATTTTGAAACCACCAGCAGTTGTCTCCCTTTGTATAAGCAATTTTCTGTTTAATTCTGACAGTAAGTTTGTGTGTTGTACTGCGATGATTGTTATGTTTTCCGGGTACTGCAGTAGTACTATTACTATAGTAATCTCAAACATGGCAGACACATTTGGTTTAAAAAACATGCTGATGTTTGACTGCAATGTTTACTTATAATACACGATCTTTCGGATCAAAATTACATTGAGGTAAGTGAAAGCCTAGTGTGACCAGACGGACGTGCTGTTGTATTTTAATTGCGTCATGCACAGACATTTCAGTTGTAGTGATATGTAACAATTCCTGGGGCCTTCTGGAAATGGTTGGGAAGGCGTTGCTTCTGTTTTGCAAGTACTAATAGACACTTAAAGCAACTACATGATCACTATACCCACTGTCCCTTAATGTTTTTGGCTTGAGTTTTGTATGAACAACTGTGACCATATACTTTCACTCTGTTAAAAGTCACAGAAGTAGTTACATCTAGAAACTTCAACAGATGCACACAGTAAAATTCATGAAAGTAATGTTTTTGAAGATTGCAGATGTTCAGAAAGACCTTGACTACAAACAACAGGAAGAGGACTCTCGCAAAAGAAAGTAAGATATTGCCTATACTTAACAATGTATAAGTTATTGGGATTGGTCTATAGTTTTGTGAACAATTAATGACTCATGATATTGATCATTTTTGGGAATATCAGTGTTTCTCACATAAAGAGCAATGTTTACTAATACAGTGAACCCTCGCTACAACGCTACCTTCAGTGTCCAAATAATTGATGAGCGTTATAGGGCTGAAATTGTTTTTTTTGTGTTGTTTTTTGTGTGTGTGTGTGCGTGTGCGTGCGTGCGTGGGGGTGGGGGGGTGTGTGTGTGTGTGTGTGTGTGTGTGTGTGTACACACCACACTAGTAAGAAGGGGGCAGGGGGTGAACACACTAGTAAGAGGGCGGGGGGGGGGGCATCTCTACACAGGGTTGAGTATTTTATGTTTTAGGCATGTTTTGTTAAGGCATTAATGTGGGCACGTAACACCGGAAATACCATGTCAACAAATCTGTACCGAAATACTCAAATTAATCATGTAAAAAGAGTTCATAATATATCTGGACTTATGTTGGTAATTTTCCTAATTTTATTCAACATTTCATTCAATATTGTTTCAATTTATTTCGGCACAATCGTGTGTGAAGTGATCGGAAGATCACACAACTCGCCATTATTTACAGCAACCACGGTCATATTACCGCTATTGACGCCTTGAAACAAACTTTAGTGCATAGAGAATGGATATTTGCACGAACTTGGGAGCTGACTGATTTTATCACAGAGGAGGGCTGAGCGAGAGCTAGGTGCTGTCCTGGAGCCGCTATGAGGCTTGGACGGTGGTCTGCGGACCAGGGCTGCAACCTGAGCTCTGGTGCTAGCTTATTTACAAGGAGAGGGACGACCGAGAGCTAAGCGAGGGTCCTGGGGCCGCTGCGGCGGCTCGGACGGTGGTCTGCGGACCTTTGGTGCTAGCTTATTTACAAGGAGAGGGACGACCGAGAGCTAGGCGAGGGTCCTGGGGCCGCTGCGGCGGCTCGGACGGTGGTCTGCGGACCGGGGCTGCGACCTGAGCTCTGGTTTGGACTTGGGGGAGAAAAGGACACTCTAGATGAGTGGAAATAGCCCAAAGCAAGTGATTGGAAGGGTACCCCCTTACAAGAGTGAGTGCCCCCAAGTTGTGCTAGGTGTGGTAAGGAAAGTACATTGTGTGCAACAATATAGAGAGGGATCACAAGATACATCAACATCGTACAAAAAGGAATGACCAACACAACCAATTCAACGCAGGTGATCAGAGATGTCCCTGTACTGGGTATTATGGACAAGAAATTAAAGACAACTGAGCATTCTTAATAACGTCCTCTGGGGTCCGAATATAACGTGTAAAACAGTCTGACTGCCACCTGCCCAGTGTTTTTATGAGGTGATCTTCCATACGAACAGTTGCAGCGGATGTCGCTGCCCCTATGCGAAAAAGAGTGTCCAGAGTATTTAGCTGCGTCAAGGTGTGCATGTTTCATGGTCATGTTGAGCCATTGCAGGAACATGGTACGGGATATGGCTTTTCCAACACAGTCAACAAACAGAGGATCACTGTCCCTAGCACCATGTGATAGTCTTACTTGCTTTAAGCGGTTCAAATTGGCAAAAGGGCAAATGGGAGATTGGTTGGCAAACAAGGGAATGACTACGCCCTGTCTAAAAATATCTGTCTTTGAAGCTTTGAGCACGAGAGTACACTTTCCTGTATTATGGTCGATGGTGACATCAGATAGACTTAAATTGGTACTAGCATCGAAGTCACGAGAACATGTGAACTTGGCACATCGTAGAAAACCAAAGAAGGCAGTGGTGCACATGACCTCCATTACCAGATCATGGAGAGGTCCGAGCACCCCTTTGCGTAGTGTACACACAATCTTCTTCAAAACATCGTAGGTTATGGGTAAGCATTTGGGCACACCCTGTTGTTGTAGCTTCTTGTATCCATGAAGTAGGGTTCGTAGCTGATTTAGACCCCCAGTAGACACTGAATCGAACACTGTATGTACACCTGCCTTCAGAAAGGTAAACCGAATACCCGCGAGATAGGATTTGACAGTGACATACTGTAGTTTTGCCTCACCGAAACAAAAGGCCACATATTGTTGCAGAAGTGCCGAATTAACTGGTGGCAGACCTTGTGCTGCCCGTGTGAGGCTTGAGCATGTAGAGTACAGGCTATATCTCAGGAGAAAGGCAACATATGACTGAAAGCCAGAAGCATAGGTGGTCTTGGTTCTGGCCGCCACTGCAGCATCCCATAGAGTGTCTAGGTGTCTTGCCAGACCCATATCAACTGTGAGTGTTGTGGACATCGTGTTGCTTGTGGTGCCGCATGTGGAGCAAGTTTCCGAAATCTGGCAATCTGTAACCGAGACAGAGAATCAGCAATTTGGTTTGACACGCCTGGTACATGTTTGGCACATATCACAAAATTGTCAGAGGCTGCTAGTGAGGTAACCATACGCATGAGAGGCATAATGTTTTTGCATTTTGATCTGCCCTTGTTGATTATGTTTACTGTTGATTCATTGTCACAATAAAACAAGATTCTTTTCCCTGACCACTGCTTGCCCCATAAAACGGCTGCTACTACAATGGGATACAGTTCAAGTAGCGCCATGGATCGACTGTTGTTTTCGCAATGGGCTTGCATAGATGATGGCCAAGGTGACGAAAACCAAGCACCCTGAAAATAACCTCCAAAACCTAAAGTAGATGCGTCGGTATACAGTTCCATGTCAGAAGCCTGTGTCCTGGAAGAGTCGTGAAAGAAAGAAACGCCATTCCACTTCTGTAGAAACACATGCCACATGTGCAGATCAGAACGACATTCAGCAGAAATGTTCACTCTGTGGTGCAGTTTTTTAACAGATTTAGATAGATCGATGAGGTAAGACACAAAGGATCTTCCTGGCACAACCACTTTGCAGGCATAGCACAGATGTCCTATCAGAGACAGTAGTTGTTGTTTGGTACACTTTCTCTTGTGACTGAACTCTTGCACTAACTCCGATATTCTAGCCGACTTGTCCAGGGGTAGTCGGGCTGTCATGGTATTTGAATCTAAAATGATACCTAGATATTCCATCTCACAGGCTGGTCCAACGGTTTTATGTGGGGACAACGGAATTTTCAACTTGTTGAAAGTGGCTGTTAATGTTTTCATAGTAATAGAAGCTTCGTAGTTGGGTTCATCAATGGTGAGGAAGTCATCCAGCAAGTGTAAAACGAAATGGACCTTGTAATTGTTTGTGAGGATCCAAACAATGGCTTGTGATATGCAATCAAAGATACGAGGGCTAGATTGGCATCCAAACGCTAGGCGCTTGAAGAAGTAATACTGATTGTCCCATCGAAATCCGAACAGTGACCAATAATCTGGGTGAATGGGGATTTGCTTGAAGGCGTCTTTTATATCCACCTTACACATACTCGCGCCTCTGCCTACACGGTTCAGTTCCCGTATGGCATCATCGATTGTCACGTAGGTTAAACAGCACATGTCCTTGTCTATCGTATCATTAATGCTAATAATGTCATCGTTGTCATGTGGGGCTGAAAGGTCCAGGATCAGTCGTTTTTTATGGCTGTATTTTCCTTCAGCGATGCCCAGGGGGCTGACCCGAAACACATGGTAAGGGGGGACTGAAAATGGTCCAATAATGTAGCCCCGATCTAATTCTTGACGGACAAGGTGCGTTACGGTATCGGGTTCTTTCCGGGCGCTCAGATTGTTTTTGCACTCCCAGGTAAAATTGGGCACTGTTGCAACGAGAGGGTGAAAACCGTGTCTCAGTCCATCACACAAGTATGTTACTAAGTTCTGATCAGGGTGACGCCTTAGTTCCTCTTGTATGATGTTGGTATTTAATGGTGTCAATTCCTCAGCAAATTGTCACTTGTTGATTCCATGTCCCTTATTGGAATTAGTGTTGTATTTTTTGCAAACCAATTTGTTGTGATTCTTCCCGAAACAAGTGGAGCAAACATGCAGAAAGTTGCAGCGAATACGCATGCAGCCGCTATCATTGAAATTATTGCAAACCTCCTGTCCCTGGTACCATATTTTTTGTCTACCATGTGAATCGGTGGAGCTGTTTGCAGTGCTTGTGGAGGTAACATTCTTTTTTCCCAAGCTATGTCGTGGGCTGACTTGTTCGCAGGTGTTCGTCAACAGGGATGGACATGTCGCGGAGTCATGGCTGATACTACTGCACAGGTCACATGACCTACAGCGAAGGCCAGAAGTACAAGTGGTATAAATTCTGGTGTCCGGAACGCCCAAGGTGATGTGCGTACCCCTCTCAGCCAGTGCTGCCACACGAGCTGCGAATCTCTTGTGGTATTCATAATGTACATATCCTCCATATAAAGTGTGGAGTTCCGCTACTGTACGTTCATGTTGTTCCAATTGCTCTCTCCTATTTGGCCAAGCTTCACAGAAGATATCCTTGAATACTTTGAAGGCTCTGCTGAATTCGGCAAAGTTCAAATTCCTGGTGGTACGTGGGTTAAGTTTTAACACGTTTTTGCATGAACCTGTCTCTTCAGCAAGTCTATATTCCCCGGATTCTTGGCATGGTAACAACAGAGAAGCCAAATTAATATATTTACCTTGGTGAATTTTACGCCTTGTACTTTCGTCAACAAAGTTGACATGGGGCACGGAATCTGACAGAACACATTGCGTTGGATTTGACTGTGATGTAGGCCAGGCTATGTTTTCTCCACTGGGAGCTCCAGAGGATAGACGTTGGGTGAGGGATGTCATCATGTCCCTCATTTCCCGCATGACTCCCACCAATTCCACATTTGCTGACGATAACTGGTTGCTTGCTGTTGTCACTGTTGCCGGAATGCTAGTAGAGCTGTCAGAATTCAGGCTGTTTACAGACTGGGGAGTAACGTCACAGGAAGGAACAGCATGTACAGACGACAATGCGGAAACGGGGGAGGAATGTTGAACAGCGCTGGCCCCTCCACTGACCGTGTGGTTCTCGTTAA